GATTCCAATGATTTTATGGTTCCCCACTAGTTCCTGGACCATACGTACTAGAACCAAGTAAATACTCAGTAGTATTGTATACTCTCCATTCTAATGATACAGCAGAGTCTACCCTACACTGATAACTAGCTGGGTCACGTATACAAAATGGTTGACCTGCAGGACTAAGACTAATAGGACAGCTGATGAACTGAGCCTTAGATGCACCTAAAATATATGACAATAATTATCATAAATGCAGTAAGTGGCCTACCAATGACAAGTACAGAATAACACGAAAGATAACTCAGATAAAAAGCGACCAAAAACCTCGCCAGCTCGAGAGATAGCTTCATTTTGCCGTAATAATTTTGTGTTTTAGATCTAAATTGAATTGAAGGCGTGGTCTGGGCAGTGTTGCCAGATGGGTTTGGCCAATTGTTCACAAAATTTTGTCAAAAAGTTCATATTTTCACATGGCAAGGTTGAAAAGTTCATAAATCTGTGAACTTTGTTCATGATCTGGCAACCCTGGGTCTGGGTTAGCCTGTTTTTCATTTACTCTATTATCTATGGTTTGCGACATGATTATTGTTGTTGCAGCAATGCTTTCTGGATTGAGAAATGTGTTGTTAGTCGTGCTTTTTTTCCTGTCACTAGTAACTGGCAACTTTGGTAAGTGGTTAAAACCCATTATATCTAGAAATCTAGTGCTGTAGCCTCTAGTACATATAGATTTTGTATTTAGGTGCATCTCAAGCTCAGTTCATCAGCTGTCCTATTAGTCTTAGTCCTGCAGGTCAACCATTTTGGATACGTGACCGAGCTATTTATCAGTGTAGGGTAGACTCTGCTGATACATTAGAATGGAGAGTATACAATGCTACTGAGTATTTACTTGGTTCTAGTACGTATGGTCCAGGAACTAGTGTGGGAACCATAAAATCATTTGGAATCGATTTCACTACTAACCTAACTTCTACTGGTAGCCCTATCGTCTCTGATATAGCATTCGATGTTAAGTACTACCGTACAGCAGGAAATATTTGCGGGGAATTAAATTTTGCGAGTTTGCGATTCCATTTAAAGCGCAAAATTTAAATCCGCAAAATAATGAAATTCATGCATGACCACAGTAGATAATGCTACAATAACTGTCAAAACCGCAAATATTTAATCCGCAAACCAGGTTATTTTTAAGGATTCGCAAAATTTTTCTCCGCAAAATTAACCAGCTGTACGGTATATGATTAATTATACTCTTGAATGTAGAGCACTTAGATTCATCAATAATGATACTTTAGCAACTGATACTTGTCCTTTTGTGATAGGAGGTATGTTACATCAGTACGTGCCTCTGTACTGTATCCGCCTATTTTACCCATTC